CTCATAATCCGTTTTCAATTCTAAATGATTTCTAACCCTATCTCATTTGAATTGTCTTTAGAGTTTGAATCTGTATTCAACTTCAGAGGACTTACACAGTGAGATAAGTCTACAAATAACTCTATTCCAATAAATTTTGTTTGATTTAGTTTCATATATACATTGCAATATTGCATAGTTCTTCTATTTAACTTGATATGGTCATCATTGTTAGTTAACTCCTGATGCAGAGTGGTTGCTGAGATTATGATGCCTTTAACGTTTAAATTTTAGCAAGTGTTTGGAGATCACTTAGCAGTTAGCACATTCATTCATCACGGATGCATTTGAAGTTGAAGTTTGACGCTTTGAGCTTTGAAGATAGTGATGAACTGTTAATTTGTGTTTTCCATGTGTTCTATGTTATTTTTTTTACCGATACATTTGAAGTTTGATGTTTTCCTTTTAGTATTATATTTCAACTGCATCTTTCTTTTGACACATTTTCAAGTATTTTGAACATTGGATTTGAGTTTTGGTATTATTATTGGTTCGAGTACTGATACATTTTACAAGTTATTTAATGGACATTTGAGTAAAAACGCAGTTTGGATACACTAAAATCTGTAGGAACTTGTGATCGTTGTTACCCCGAAACTTTCGGGTATTTACAGATATTACAAGTTTTGACCCGAAGCGATCTGAAAAGACTCGATGCGAATGGGAAAGGACCCGACCCAACCCGAATGCCCAAATGCCCAAACCTATGTTTTAGAAAAAAAGCGATTATGCCAAAAGCAAAAAGAGTAAGATGTGTATGATATTGCTAAACCTGGATTTATCCTCTAGATGCATGTTTGACTTCTGATTCACAAAAAAATAATGAACAACGCCAGTAAAAATTTTGTAAACAAAAAATCATTTTTTTTTTTTGATAAACTCAAAGTTAAAAGCAGAACAACTAAACAAAATATGCAAACAAACATACATGTTTAATATAGACTATGCAAACAAACACGTTTGTCTTTTGTTTCATGACAAAATGATAACTCATGTTCAGGGCACATGTTATGGATAACTTCTCAAAATATTGAACATGATCATCCGATCGTTACATACAAAGATAATTCAAAAATAACAGAATA